AGCGAGGACAGGTCTGTCTCCCAAGATCTGTGAGAGTAAAACAACAAGGAGTCCGGTGGCACCTTAAAGACTAACAGATTTATTTGGATATAAACTTTTGTGGGTAAATAACCCGCTTCGTCAGATGCATGGAGTGAAAATTACAGATAGAAACCAGACATAAATATACTGACACATGAAGAGAAGGGCGTTACCTCACAAGTGGAGAACCAGTGTTGACAAGGCCAATTTAGTCAGGGTGGATGTGGTCCACTCCCAATAATTGATGAAGAGGTGTCAATACCAAGAGAGGGAAAATCGGTTTTGTAGTGAGCCGGCCACTCCCAGTCCCTATTCATGCGCAAATGTAATGGTGTTAAGTTTGCAAATAAATGGTGGCTCTGCAGTTTCTCTTTGAAGCCTGTTTATATATGTACGCCTGTATCTGTCATTTTTCACTCCATGCATCTGAAGAAGTGGGATTTTTACCCACGAAAGCTTATGCCCAATAGAACTGGTTATGATCCCTTAAGCCATTTGTATAACCCCCCCCCCAGTAAAAGAACCGACGACCCAGGCACTGTCCCTTTAAGAGCAGCCACCAGTTGTCATGCAAGGCTGCATGAGGAAGTTTATTCATTACTTATTATGCCACTAGCTACATTTTTCGGCCTGGGTGGTTCTGTTTGCCCTCTCCCTCCGCAGGCATGCTCCGAAGGGCGGAGAGGGACTGCATTTCGCAGGAAGAGAGCGCGCGGCTCTGAGCCAGCCCCTGCCTGCAGGAGCTGCACGGGGAAGGTGAGCCGCGCCGGCAGAGCTGGGACTTGCCATGGCCCAGCCTGCAAAGGGGGAAGAGAGCTGCCGGACCGACGCTTAGCAGCAAGGGGGCGTGAACGGCGAGGGAGGTCCCAGGCGCCAGCAAAACTTTGCAGCCGGGCTCCCCGGCGCGGAGGAGAAGCAAACCCCGGGCTGCTCCCTCCCTTCTCCTTTTTTGGGAAGGGAGAAAAAACCGCGCGGCTGTTTGCTCAGGAGCAACTCCCCCCCCGCGGCTTCTGCCCGCAGCCCTGAATGTCCCATTGTCCCGGGAGCCTGGCCCCCCCTCGGTGATGTTGGAAAACCCTCGCCCTTTGCTCCGCAGAGTCGCTGGCGCGCTGGTGCAGGGGGCTTCCTGGAGGAAGAGGGAGCCCGTGCGCAGCCCCTCGCAACTTCTCCTCCTTTTGTTCTGCAGGAGGAAACTTTCTCCCCCGCGCGGGGCGGCGGCAGAGAAGACGCGGGCAAAGGAGGCGGCGGGGCGAGCCCCCTCGGCCTGGGCTCCCCGCAGCCGGACCCCAGCTGCGGCCCGGGGGCCCCGGACAACGCCCGCGATGCGCCCGGCCGCGGCCCCGCTGCGCGCCTGGAAGGCAGCGGCTGCTCCCTGCCCGGGGGGATGTTAGCCCCGAGCCCCATTGCCCCGGGAGCTCCGACTCGGGGGCGCTTTGGGGGGCGCTGGAGCGAGCTGGACTTTGCATCGTCGGGTTTGTTTTTTGCATCCTTTGGAAAGCTGAGCTCGGGGCCCCCCCTGGGCTGAGCCGGCCCCGGGGAGGGGCATGGCGTGCGGCGGGGGGAGCGGCGCCAGCCCGGGGGCCGCCAGCCCGGCACCGCTCTGGTACCACCGGGACCTGAGCCGAGCGGCGGCGGAGGAGCTGCTGGCCAGAGCCGGGCGAGACGGCAGCTTCTTGGTGCGGGACAGCGAGAGCGTCTCGGGCGCCTACGCCCTCTGCGTGCTGTGAGTCCTCCGCCCGGGCGCCACGGGGATGGGCGCGGGGGGGGGGATCAGCCACAAAACCCCCCTGGCCTGTGCCGGAGACAAGCCGGGTGCAATGGGCCGGGGCGAGGGGGGCCTGTCCCTGCCCCGGGCTGTACGTGCAGCGTAAGGACCGGCGGCGGGCCCTGACTTCCCTCTCCGGCCCGGCCGAGCCCAGGGCGCTGGGGTTCCGCAGGCCGCGGCTTGTCCCGATCAGAGAGCGGGGGAGGCAGGATGCAGATCTGGAGTAAACCCCCTCGCCCCCCAGGGAGGTTCCTGTCCCTTCCGGCGCACAGAGCTCACCCGGTCTCCTGGCTTGGGGGCGAGGAGCGGGGCGGGCGGTTAGATCTTCTGCAGCGTGCTCTGCCAATGGCCCTGTGCTCCGCCCCCGTCATGGATCAGAGCCCCCGTGTGCTAGGCGCTGTACAGAGCAGACAGCCCCAGAGAGCTGAGAAAGTTCGAGGCCATAAGTGTGTATTTGTGTGTGTGTCAAGTATCGGGGTAGCCGTGTTAGTCTGTATCTACAAAAACAACAAGGAGTCTGGTGGCACCTTAAAGACTGACAGATTTATTTGGGCATAAGCTTTCGTGGGTAAAAACCTCACTTCTTCAGATACATAGAGTACATAAATCTGTTAGTCTTTAAAGTGCCACCAGACTCCTTGTTATGTGTGGGTGGGTGGGTGGGTGGGTGTGTGTATATATATATATACCCCTGTGTGGAGCTATTTGTATAATGGACACCAGCATCCAAGCATGGCTGTTGGACCCCACAACTACACATCGGGCAGTCCAGTTGCACATCTCTCTTGGGCAGTGGGAGTTGGTATAATTGTGACTAGTGCCTAGAGCCAGCCCCAATCAAGGCACTGGGTGCTGCCCGAGACAGGCCCTGCCTCAAAGGATTTACTAGGGACAACGGGGGGCAGAAAGACGGGGTGGGGGCAACTGAGGCACGGAGCAGCTGTGTGATTCACCCCAGGTCAGGCCGGGAGGCTGCGCGCACCTGGGATTTGAATCCAGCTCTCCCGAGTCCCTGAAGGTTTTGCTTGGCGGGTTCTCTGGCTCCAGTGATAGGCTGGTCAGAAAACCCAAAAATAAGGTGAAATAAACCCGGGCTGGGCGTTGGGGGACTTTGGGGGGGGGGTCTACGCCTGACTCTGCTACTGATTTGCTGTGGCTGTTAGGCACGTCTCTTAACCTTTGTGTGTCTCAGGCCAGGTCTATGCTTAAAAATTAGATAACCTAACTGTGGTGCTGTGCAATGGAGTTAGGTCAACCTAAGCCCCTGTGTAGACGCGGCTAGGACGAGGGAAGAATTCTTCCACTGAGCTACTTACCACCTCCCGGCGGGGTGGAGTTGCTACATGGATGGAAAAACCCGTCTGTTGATGTAGGAAGCGTTTGTGCTCCAGTGTCAGAGCTGGACCACTGTGGTGTAAAGTGAGGGGGTGATCCTGCTTCCCAGCGGTGCAGGGGTGGGTTGCTGGGTAAAGTGCTAGCTACAGGTCCTTCCTTGACTGGCCTTGCAGGTAGGACGCAACGTGTCTGCAGCGGAAAGAGATGAGAAGGCAGGTTCCTTCTTTGCTTGTGCTGTGAGTCCGACAGCACATGAGTCTGGTCCCCAGCAGGGTCAGCCATTCCCTGTCCCCCCCACACGGCATATGGACCTGTCCCACAGCAGGATGGGGGAGAAGCTGGGATTGAAACCCCCCAGACATGGGCAGGGGGCTCTGGGGCGGGGGCTTGGATGCTCCAGTGATGGGCGTGACTGGAAGAGGCAGCTTAGGTGGGCCGGGAGGTGAGATGACCTTTGATTTTGAAATTGACTCGATTCTGTGGCGATGGTGTCCCGGGCCAGGAAAGTGGCCTTCTTGTAACCCCATGGGGTGGCCAGGCGGGGGCACCAATTTGCCATCCTGCTGCATTCTCCGCTTGGAAAGGCTCCCCGGCATGGCACTGGAGGGCCATTCAGGAGCCCGCTGCAGCCTCCATACCCCACAAGGCATCAGTGCCCCCCCCTTTTCCCTCCTGCCCCCAGCAGGCCCAAATCGCAGACTCTCCTAGCTATGGCTTTGTCCTTGTATAGTAACCGCCGGGCCTGATTTGCCCCCCAGAGGTGCTGAGTCCCTGCGGCTCCCATTGACTATTATAATAGGTGCTTAGCACCTCCCAAAGTCTGCTCTGCGGTGCCTTACAAACCAGGGCAGCTAGCCCCTAATGGGTCCAGAGCTTCCTGGGGTAGGGCTCTGCTCCAGGGGGACTGGTATATTTCCTGTGGCAAACCGTGTTAGCTCCTGCTTTTGGGGAGCGTGACGGGGAGGCATTTTCCCATTGTTAACCCCCCCAGCCAGCCCCTTTCCAATTGCTGGACACGCGGCTTAACTCGCAGAAGCCGGGGCTTGAGGCTCGACTGGAGCCCGGGTAGGGTCAGCGCCAATGCCAGGCACCTTCCAGGGCTGGAGCAGCCGGGTTCCAGGCTGCGACGTTCAGATCAGAGCTGAGGCCGAGTTTACATGGGTGTTGTAGGTCCAGCCCTTTACTCTCTAACAAATCTCTGGCCAACTGGGACCCTCCCTTGCACAGAATTTCACAAGCGCCTGGCTGCAACTCAGATCCATCTGCTTCCAAAGCCCAGAGTCCTGCCACTTTTGCTAAAGGAGAATCCCCGTGAATTAGCAGTATTGGGCCGATGACACACACTAGAGGAGTTTGAATTCCATCCAATAGAGGGCAGTGTTCCCTGTCCACACTTGACAGCTCATTACAGTAGCAACAGGGGCCAGCCACAAAACTCAGAGCAGCATCCGGACTTCCTCAGACTTGTTTGAATCCCGGCCGATTGCTGCCTCATGCTGCAGTGGCAGGACTATTCCCCGTCCTTTCACCGTGCAGGTTTCAATGCTGGGCTCAGTGCAACGTCTGCTGGGGGTGGTTTGTCCTGTTTCACTCTAGAAAGGTCCTGTTGTGCCCTGACGTTCCTTCCCCTGCAAATCTGCAAATTCGCTGAAGCGACGGCCCGACTCCTTGTATCGGTGCCTGGGAAATGGTGCATGGTCGTGACATGAACCGTGCTGGGGGGCTAGAACTTGGTGCTTCCCAAAGTACTAGATCAGCCGGCTACAGGAGGGCAGTGTCCCACAGCCAAGAGGCCTGAGCTGCTCCGTGACCTTGAGCAAGTCGCTTCCTGTCTCTGCACCTAGTGGGTGGTAGGTGGTGTTAAGAACCTGCCTGCGCTGGGTGTTTGTAGCAGGCCAGTCTTGGGCAGCGGGCACTGGTAACCCATTGTTAGAGCCAGAAGTACCAGCGCTCGTTAACCGTTGCTGCAATCCAGTCGGCCCACGCTGGGGGCTGTCAGTCCGTCCCCTTGTGGTGTGTGTCCTGAGTGGGCGGGGGGTGGGAGGGCTGACCAGACCGGCTGGCGTGCGGTGTTGAGCCGAGAGACGCAAGGGGGTCTCGTCTTGTGGTGGCTCCGTGCAGGCTGCGCTATCCCATGGAGACCCTGGGGGCTGGTGCCAGGTGATCGATCGTGTGCCCGTGCAGGTTAACGGAGCTGCACAAGACGCTGGCGCATCTTGCTGCCCCCTGGCACCAGGGTGGCTTTTCAGAGGCCTCCTACCCAAGCAGTGACCAGCCTTTCCAAACTCGCTGGCACACTGAATGGCATTGGCCGAGGCAGAGGCAATGAGACATCCAATGGGGAGATGCCCAGTGAGGCTGTTGCCAGGTTCCCTACGGATGCCCACGTCTAGGCTGAACGGCAGGCAGTGAGCTGGTGCTCTGGGAGGTGCGTGTGTCGCCTACGGTTGGGTGCGGGGCACAGGGCATAGCAGCAGCACTGTTCGCTGGCCTGGTGGGCTGCCCGGGGACGGCATCCCTCGCCATCAGCCCCTTGTGCTGGTGACCCGGCGTGGGGGTGGGCCGGCCCTGCAGTGGGGAGCAGCCGGCCCGGAGCTAGTGTCCGTATCCCCGGTATCCCCATGGCCGTGGTGCTCTGACTCCCGCCCTGCCGAGGGTGGGGGAGGAGAAGGTAGGGGCCGGGAATTAACCTCCTCCTGCCCAGTTTGTTCGTTGGGATTAAGGGCTGGAGCTGAACTCTGGTGAGGAGAAACTGGCAATTCAGGGCTTTCCCGGCTTGCATCTGTGCGCCCCCCCCCTCCCCCCCGCAGCGACTGTCTCTGCCGATCCCTTCTCTGATACGGCTCTGCCAAGGGGTTGGTCATGTTTCAACATCCTGGCAGGGCTGTAGGCAACATGGTAACTGTGTCATAGGCTCTCTACTGCTGCTGACTAATGGGGATTCTCCTTTAGCTCAAGTGGCAGGGCCTGGGCTTCTTGGAGCGGACGGATGCGAGGGGGGTCTGTCTGTGCTGGGGCCAGGTGGTGGCCACCGGGAAGCCTCAGGTGGCTGGGGGTATTCTGCCAACACATTGCGATGTGTGGCTGTGGGACTGGGGTCCTCTTGAAGTCTAGGGATCTCTGGGCGCTTTGCCAGTCAGCCATTCGGCCCCTGATTCCTAACTCAACAGGTGGCCCGTGATGTCTGGACTCTGGGAGAGGGGTGCAGCCAGAGCTTCTGCAAAACCCGCCTGGGAGCCGTCTGGGCTCAGGCTGGCACCCCCGAGCAATGACTCTGTCCTCCCTCCATGAGCCAAGCAGCAAGTGTCTCTGCTTTGTGCTTTGATTGCAAAATCCATCTGCCCCAAGCCGAGCCAGTCATCTGCCTGCGACCGCCCTCGTCGCAAAGGTCTGGGGATCCGTACCGATCCCTTCCAATCAGAGAGTGGAAACGATCCTCCCGTCCGGCCCCTCGGCGCCCGAGCAGGGCTGTGCTGGCTTTAAAGGTGCTGGTTCTGCTGGGCGGGGTTGTGTGGCAGGGCCGAGGTCCGCTCACGCGGTAGCGCCGGAGGAAATGACCTGGCGATTTTCTGTCGCCTCGTGGGTCAGTTCCGTGATTCTCTCAATCTTGTTTAGTCAGCGTT